TCCAGGAGGCTTGGAGTAATATATCAAGTCAATGTTTGAATAAACTGACTGCTCGGATGCCTAGTGTTGTCCCTTATTATCAATGCAAAATGGTCACTAACTAAAGAGGATTTATGCTGATATTGCCCAAAAACCCTATTTTGTTCAGGCGTTTCCAAACTTTTGGAGGGCAGTGTATATATATATATATATATATAAAATATTAATTTTTTCATTGTACCTCCTTAACACAGCAATCTCATTCTCCAAGTTGATGTCCCTTTTGTTCTTTTTCTTCACACACTTAATGGCAAAGAGCTTTCCTGTTTTCCTCTCCTTCACCATGAACACCTCAGAGAATGCTCCCCTAAGAGACAGAGAGAGGTAGAGATACGCACAGGAAGAGGAAGTTGGGTGAGGCTGTTCACTTATTAAGATTTAACACTTAACTACTGCTGTGAGGAGGAGAAGCAGACTGATATACTTTTTTTCTTTTTCACAAAAAAGTGATACATTCTCTATTTTCGATGAGAATGTGCATATGACCTTTTAAAGCCCTTCATCTCTGGCACTTCAATCATCTATTTCATAATATCTAAAGCCGTTTGTGCCAGGATTTGGAGGAGGTAAAAAAAAATAGCCAAGTGATTATCTTCTGCCCCCGTCCTCACACTATTTCATCTGTGAAAAGATCTGCCTGTTATCAGTATCAAAAGTTGAATTTTATGAATGAATTTTGTGCTCCATTAATCAAAATCAGAACTCTGATGATTGAAGGAAATCAGGAGCCAACAGCTTATTTTGTTTCTTTTCAAAAACGTTCTTTTCTGGGATGATGACAGCATAAGAAGCCATAGCAATAGCTTAATTTATTGTGCTTTGTGCCTTCCACACTGTCTAAAGCTGTAACCTGGAATACATGTCCTGGCTGGGGATTAAGCCTCAAAATCCCCTATGCAGCGGAAATAGTAACAGCTCAGGTATCCAGGTGTGGTGCTTCAAACAGGTCACTGAGCTCTCCATGAAAGGATCAAACCCTTCTTGTTTAACTGTTTGAGAAATCCACACCTGATATTCAAACATTTCTGGTAGTGTTTTATACTTACACAAACAGATCGGATTCATTTCTTTCATTGTGGTTCAGTAATTCATTCATATACAGTATATATAAACCTGCTTTATCCGTATTCCCTTTCATGTAATATTCAGATAAAACACATTCTCAAGGGTAAAAACTATTTTACTCTGAGCTTTGTAGCAGGACACCCACGTGCAATGCCCTGTCTCACACTATCGCCCGCCCCCACAAACACAGATATTCATGAAGAACATGGAGTATCACAGAATTGCTTTTAATTGCCGCCTCCAAGCTTCTCTGAGGCCAGCACACTCCCTCTTCTGCCTCTGCAATTTTATCTCTGAATATAAATGCTATGAAACAGATTTTTGAGCCAGGCTTCGCTTTAGTCAGTAATTATAGTGGTATAATTATAAGTGTTCTTGGAATTTATACGATTGATTTAATGACTCTTTATAGGTAAAAGATTTCAGCACCAAGACAGATTAATACGTGCAAAGACTTGACCAGTAATTACGCACAATGCTCAGGTCTTATAAGGGAGAACCTATGATGACAGAACATCTCAGTCGCAACCATTAATTGGTTGCAATTTCATGCATGGCATTTTGCAGTGGCACATTCCCTCCCTTGTAAGTTCTGCTGAGGGATATTGGGATTTGGTTCAGGTTGTTTTTCTCACAGGAAACGAGTGGGTCATCTCCCCAAGGCAAAGCTTTTCTCACTGGTCCCACTGCCTTCATTTTTATAGCTCACAGCATGGACACCAGGGATGGCTGCAATGGACGCAAATGCTGCTAAGGAAAATGATGCTTTGAATTTCAGAACTTTTATTAAGCTTCCATTATCAAGACAGTAGTTCTGGGTCACATGTCCTATGAAAAAATACCAATTAAATGTTGCCCCCCCCCCCCCCCCCCCCATCCTGATTCCTGAGTGTTAAATAAGCACAGCTTATCACAGCCTTCCATATCTCACAGCTTGTCTCTGAGAATAGAGTGAAATGTAGAGGGTGTTAAAAACAACTGCTGTTTCTTTCCATGCCAAACATAGAGAAGGATAATTATTATTCTAAGGAGAAAGCTAGTGATTTATTACCTTTTTACAAAAAATTAAAAGAACATATACACAACCACTCATGGAGGGGCCCTGGAGGACTAGTGGTTAGGGCACGGCGCTCTCACCGCAGAGGCCCAGGTTCAGTTCCTGGCCAGGGAACCAACCCCAGCCACTGGAGATGCACAAGACAGCGTACTCCCAGTGCTGGTCTCAGGGCCAGATGAAAAATTATGGAGATTCCTTGTTGATATGAGCAAAATGGCCAGATTGGTTCAAGCTGCCAGGAAGGGTCTAATAACTCAAATAATCACTCTTTAAAACCGTGGTGAGCAGAAAAGCATCTCAGCATGCACAAAATATCAAACCTTGATGGGCTACAACAGCAGAAGACCACATTAGGTTCCACTCCTGTCAGCCAATAACTGGAATCTGAGGCTATCATGGGCACAGGTTCACCCATACTGAAGATTAGAGGAAAAAAATGGAAATGGAAAGTCTTCAACTGTCCAGTTCCAGAATCTGTGCCCCAATAGCCTCAGATGCTTTTTTTTCTGAATGAAAGACTAATCTTCAAATGCCTGTGCAAGCTGAAGATATAGACCTTCCTGCAACTTGCCTTGATTATATGTACAATATAATCACTAATCTACTGACATTAGTGAAGTGACATGTAGCCAACTACGGTGACCCATACTCGGGTCACAGGTCTCACCTCAGTCGTGGTATTGAGGGTGGAGGGGAGCGCTGGTCATTCACTCCCCCCACCTACAATCCCTGCCGGGCCTGAGATTCAAACCCATGACCTTCAGGTTCACCTTCAGGTTACAAGTCTGACTCCCTAACCAGTAGGCCACAACTGCCCCCATACTGATATTGTTTTCTAATACAGATGGAAAAAAGTAATAATACCACCTGTATTATTGTTCGGGTAATAATTATTAAAATACTTTACTCACGATCCGAGCACCTCTATGAAGTCGAACACTTCTTGAATGTTGTCCGTGCTCTTCTTCCAATCATAGTCGGCCTCTTTGCGACCCATTTCAGTGCAAGCGTCTCCAGGGATTTCTACAACACATGAAATAGGACTCAGAGATCAATGCTAACCTAGTTTTCTAAAGGCTAACTTATCCTGTTTGAGAAGATAAACACAAGTCACAGATTGAGAGCCCCAGAATTATGCATAGATAGATAGGATCGATAGGCTTTTATTGTCATTGTAACATGCCACATGTACAACGAAATTAAATTGTCATACATACATTCAACCTTCAACCATATAAAAGAAAATACAAGTAGCATAAAAAGATAAAAGAAATACTGTACTAAAATAAGTTAAAACAAGTTAAAAACAACCTAACCCACCCTCATACATACTTCCCACCTATTGCACATTCCCGTGTAAGCAGCGTTTTATTGAGTGTAGTTATGGTTGTAGGGTAAAAACTATTTTTCAGTCTGTTTGTCCTTGCTCTGATTGTTCTGTATCGCCGTCCTGATGGTAACAGTTCAAACAGAGAGTGCCCGGGGTGTGATGTGTCCTTGAGGATGTACTGGCCCTTCTTGAGACAGTGGGAACTGTGTAGTTCTTCCAGTGTTAAGAGAGGGCAGCCGACGATCTTCTGGGCCGAGTTTATGACCCTCTGGAGCGCTTTGTTGGGATGGGAAACAACTCCTAATATTCCACGAACTGTACATTTGCACTATGTACAGTATGTTTAATTTAAATGTTAAATACTTTAGTCTTAATCTTAAATAACGTTTTCCTCTGTAACCTCTCAAGGTACATTTATGCAGGAGTGAGGAAAATCCACAGTCAAAGGAAGCGATCAGTGTTGGAGGGCTGCTCATGCTGATCGGCCAGCTGTCATCTGTAAGACTCTGGCACTTATTCATCAAATAGAAATCCAGATGTACAGATTTGAGCCCACAGAATGAAGTATGAACAAATCTGAATCAGATTTATGAAAATGTTGTACAGCGTCGGAACAAGCCGTGATTTGCTTGCAATTATGAATAAGCTTTAGCTCTCTTCTAAGGTAGTCTCTTATTTACATGTCATATGAATATGCTACGCCCCGATTTACCCACATATATCTATTTTTTAACTGAAACACACCCTATAGAGTTAAATAATGGTTAAATCAGCTATATGAATGAGGTAGATAATGCAGGAACTTGTATTTTATTTAGCACACCTATTTCTTTGAGCTTGGCACAAAAGATGGAAGAGACAGTATAAAGTGCAGGGAAAATAAAATCCTCACGGATGGAAATGGGTTAGCCTATCAACACTTGAAAGCACTGGAAAGGATTAGAAGTCAATCAGCAAGCCTAGTCTGTCTTTAAGACTTGGCCTCTTTCCTCTTATATAACAGAGTAAAGAATCTTGATTCACTTAACCCCAAAGGAATTAACCCGCACAGTTCAAGAGGTCAAACCTAGGCCATCAAAGACAAATAGCTACTGCACCATAACAGTATACAGGACACTACAGGGACGGAATATTGTGCAAATATCATTCTATAACACCTCAGTTCATTTTTTCAGTCAGTAGATAAAAGAATAGACTAGAACTGGGTAACCTTAAGACAAGAAGAACATCCTATTAGGCATCACTATTTGGGCATTTCTACACACTGTGAGCTAAACAAAGTTAAGCCTAATCTAACACTGCATATTTTTTTTCTTTTAATCTTTTTATTTGCTTTAGGACGTGCTATGTAAATTAAAATGAAGGCACACAACCTACTTCAAAATCACAAATATACACTTTTACATGCCTTTGTTCTTAAGGGACAATATGACACTGCACAATATGACACCCATGTAGATATAACGTTTGACCTGCTCCTGAAATCGAATATGTATCCGTTATCTATTCTCTCTATATTCTCTCATCTTGGAAGGCACGACTGGTACATCACTGTAAAAGCAATCAGTTACTGTAGCCTCCAACATACCACTCACTGTATCACTTTACTCACAGATAAGCTCATTCTCTACAATGTACAGTTTACCCCCCCCCCCCCACACACACACACACACATTCTTTTCTAATTGAAAATCTTCATTTGAAAATGATATTATTGTCAACAACTTGAGTGAAAAGTAGAGTCTGAATGAAAATTAAATTAATTTCAGAGTTTCTTAGTATTTGGTTTGTCTCCTTTTTTTTTTTTTTTTTTGCTTTAATGACACTGTGTACTCGAGCTGGCGTGGACTCCCCAAGTTTGTGCAAAACCTTGATCTATTTTAGATCAAATCCTTCAGAGTGTCGTCTGAACACATGCTTTAATAGAGATTAGGCATGAGGAAAATCTGACCTTTTGTACAAAGCAGTTAATAAATTTGCTTATATTTATATATATTTATATAGAAACAGTGCAGGATGTTGAATATTAAATATTCAAGATATTGAACATTTACACATTTCAAAATTCTGAAACCTACTGTTTATTTCCTATTTAAAAAAAAGTCCCAGAATTTCAGTGTGTGTGTGTGTGTGTGTGTGTGTGTGTGTGTGTGTATATATATATATATATATATATATGTGTGTGTGTGTGTGTGTGTGTGTGTGTGTGTGTATGTATGTATGTATGTATATACACATACATACATACATACATACATACATACATACATACATACACACACACACAGTACATACATACACACACACACACAGTACATACATACATACATACACACAAATTAAACAATTTATTTGTAATTTAATTAGCTAGTATCTATCTCTCCCCCTTCATTACAGATTGAAGAGGACCACTATCCATGGCATTAAAATATAGTTAAGTGAATATAATAGTTTACACAGAGATGATTGCATGCTTAAATTACACTCACTGGAAGATTTTTTTATTTCGTCGACCTTACCTTCAGGTATGTGCGAGCTCCAGGTGTTAGCGCAGTTTAGTATGGGTGGACAGGGACAGCAGGGACAGCAGGGACGGAGGACAGCGCGAGAAACCCGGAGCAACTGATGCACTGGTCTCAGCGACACGAACATGAGACACGCAGCCGCGTGCACTCAGAGCGCATGACCGTGCATACAGCACAGCAGAGAGACGCGCGCGCGCTTCCCCACAGATTCCCCTGTTACGTGCCCGAGCGAAAACGCTATCACGGTAAAGCAGGGATCGTACACGCGCGCGTATTGTTAGCGTTAAAAAAAAAAGGGGGGACGCTTTTACTCTGGCATGCAGCAGCTCGCGCGAGTCCCACTGCTTTATGAATGAAGCAGAAAGAAGCTTATGCGCAGCTTTAACTTACCTAGAGCCGAGGAGGGGTATGAGATGCTCCGCTCTGACTCTCCTGTCAACAGCTTTGGACAGATTGTCTCGCTGGGAGGCAGGGACATAAGCGAGGATAGAGACTGACAGGGGAGGAGTGGTGGGGAAAAGTGCATCACTCTCTCAGGTGTGTGCTCACACCATCATAGACCTGTCAGTGTTAAGGGGCTGTAAGACTTAAGGGGCTGTATTTTGCATGACACTTTCATGCAATTCATGAGTGTGAACTTCAGAATTAATAACAGGCTTTGCTGTTCCTTGTGTCAATTCTTAATTTCATTCATTGTGAATTGATAACTTCATTATCCTGATCAGGTTATGGTGGATCCGGGACCTATCCCGGGAACCTTGGCTAGAGGCAGGAGTACACCCTGAATAGGATGCCAATCCGCTGCAGGGCACCATGCACACAAATTCATACTCATTAAAACCAATTTAGAGTAACCAATACACCTGCATGCATGTTTTTGGGGGTTAGAAACCGGAGAACTGGGAGGAAACCTAGATGGACAGGAGTAGAACATTTACTCCTCCAATGCTCAGTATAGATTCAGGGACCCTGGAGCTATGAGGTAACAGTGGTACTCACTGCACCACCCTGCTGCCCAGTGATGCCGAGTGTTCGTTGTGATGCTCAGTCTACCTTTTAACAGTGACCTTTGTGTTATAATATTCATTCATTCATTCGTTTTCATCAACTGATTTATCCTGGTCAGCATCGTAGTGGATCTGGAGCCTGTCCCCAGGAACACTGGACGTGAGGCAGAAATTCACCCAGCAAAGCAAAAAGCATCTCAGCAGGATCTCAGTGGGATTTCCCATGCAAACATCCACATCCTGGAGAAGCAGAGTCTCTAATGAGGTTATTGTAGGAGTAAATGCATAAACCCATGTGAACACGTTAATTACAAATGTGTATGTTTGATGTTGTCAAGGAAGGGAGATCGGAAACTAAATATGGAGTTCTCTAGATAGTTCTGTGTTAGCAATGTGAATAGAGATGGTTGTTGATGTTCCATGCGGGCTTGAAAATACACTCACCTCTTTAAATTTGCATGGATGAATGTGCAACTTTCTTCATTACACACTTGGAGAATCAGGAAGAAATGGTTGAAATGCGATAACTATTTTTGACGATTGAAATCGTAAAGCACATCGAAGCAAATTGAAATGAAGATCTTGTTCACATCACACAGCAGTGTAACAGAGCACTGTCTGCCCTCTTCTGCACAGAGGAGATCACAGACACCCATGATTGGCTAGTTTTGTTGAGATTGACAGAGGAGAAAGTATGCCATCCCACCCAGGAAGCATGGCTAGTTTTGCTTCCTTGGCTCCTGGCCACTCATGGTGAGGACATTGCCAGGATTTGATTTGATTTGATCTTGCAACCTACCTATGCAAGGGCAAACACTTTTCTGTTGCACCACTTGGGAGCTGATTGACATTTTATAATTATAGAATTCTGCTGTAATGGAACCACTTCCGTAACTTCCTGTAACTTTTGTTTTTACAAAGATCATAACTCCACTTTCTACTTGCTTTTCTTG